TACTGAAGAGTTGTCTCCCCTTCTTAGACTACACACCACACACACACACACACGCATACAAACACGCACGCACGCACACTCACGTGCACTCACTCACTCTCAGACACACTCTCACTCACTCACACTCACTCACTCACTAGTGTTTAGAACACTGAAGTTTGGGACCCGTGTCGAGGACAACAGCTCAAACCTTAACTTTCAACCGAGTTAATAAAACCTTCTACCCGTGAGGATCCTGGGTAGAATAGGTCTTCAGCACCCCATGCTTGCCGTAAAAAGGTGACTGTGCTTGTCGTAAGAGGCGACTAACGGGATCGGGTGGTCAGGCTCGCTGACTTTGTTGACACATGTCATCGGTTCCCAATTGCACAGATCGATGCTCATGCTATTGATCACTGAATTGTCTGGTCCAGACTCGATTATTTACAGACCGCCGCTACATAGCTGGAATATTGCTGAGTGTGGCGTAAAACCAAACTCACTCATTCACTTACTCACTCAATAAAACCTTCAGAGACATTCGTGACCAACTGTGTGTTATTCCGGGACAAGCCGAATAGCGACTCGCGCCCCTCTGGAAGGATTTTATATTGGCGCATGAACATCAGAACTACTTTAAACAAGAACGATAACTCTATCCCTGTTTGATTCCAATGTTTCTAAAATTCACCGAAGCACATGTACATTGTATTGCCAGGTTGTTGTTTGGGTTTTTTTTCACTTATTTATTATAAAGAATTAAACCTCTTTGATACAACTAAAAGAAGGAGAAAAACATATTTGTTAAAGACATATTGTAATGTAATTATTACCAGCTGTTCACCTTATATTTCCAATTATGTTAATTGATAGGGTTTTTAATAGGGTTTAATCATCACAAATGGGAATTATTTTATTGAATATACAAATGAAATAAACAAAATTCAGCTACATTAAATCCCAAAGCAGATACTCAAAAATGACTTTAAAATATTTCTCAAACTGAACATTCGTGTAACCTTGCTGTCACACCCCTGGTGAAATTTACATGAATTCGCTGAAACAAATATGAATGACCAAAAAACAGTCAGACTAAAATATCCCCAGAGATATGAAGTAAAAGCCCAATGTTAAAAATGAAGGTTGATTGGTTACATACAAATACGATATTATTGTTTTGAAACTCGTAGCGATTATAATTACATTTCCTAAAATTGGTCGAAGCGCATGTAAAATCTCCATAACAAGCCCAAAAGATCGTCAGAAATACACTCAGTTGGACCATGAGACCATATAATAAACAAACGCACGTGCGTGTATTTGAATCTCTCACCGTCAATCGCATGATTCTTATTAAAAACTTCATAATAGGCAGCAAAATCCTTTAGCTACGTTCTTTGTACTTTCAATATGATTTGTATTTTTCATGATTTTTTTAAACAATGACATAATGCCATAAACGGTTTAAGTCCTCGGGATTATTTTTATCAAAGCACCGCGCTCATGTACGCGCGTTCTGATTGGTTTGTTGTATTTTTGCAGTTAACAAGTACATTCGTAACTACTCGTGTCATTCCGCCAAGCCGGATGGCGTCTCGTACCCCTCTCGTGGCCATGTTTACGACTGGGCCCTGTCTAAGCGCAAACGGGCATGGAGATGAAAATAGTCTAGTACTATTGCCAAGGAAAGATAACTCTGGATTTCCAAACATGGCCTAGAATATCCCATATCCCGTGGGCAAAACAGCGATACAGTCATTCCCTTTGTAAATATATTTCCGTGTTTAAAGTTTCTGATCCTTAAGCTCAAAGTTTCTGTTTAAATTGTGTTTTGCATAGTTTAGCGAAGTTTCAAACTTTAACGGTGCCGCCATTTTCATGCTTCGAAATGCGTTTTACTTCGCGCGATTTGATTGGTTTGCCACGATTCTTGGCAATAATGGCGTGCGATAGGGGTATGAGTCTTCTTGTAGGTCACGGAAAGAGGCGAGTAGTTACGAATGATAACAAGTTTCGAGTGGGGGGACGAGTCTTCTTGGAGGTTACGGAAAGGGGCGAGTGGTGACGAATGCTTCAGAGAGTCACTTACGGCCTGTTCGATTATTGCCAAACTGGTTTTGGTTTCTGTAACAGGAGAAACCTTCGGTAATATTTTTAGTCATTTTATCAGGGAATTACCAAATAATAAAGAAATGATATGCTTTTGGAGGTAAATATTTGCGTATATATAATTATACTGTTACAAGTAATTATATGTATACAAGTTACATAAAATAGTCATATTCAAATAGACTGGGGTTTTAAATACTATTTCCCTAGTTCTCAGTTATTTTTTTATCATTTTGGTTACAGAAACTGCTGCTGTATTTTGCCACCAAGATCAGCTGAGCTTCGTTTCCGCCATGTTTGTTGTGAAAGAACGCGAAACCAAAACTGCGAAACCTGCCTCGGAGATGGTTTCCAAGCTTCAGAACTTAGTTTCAGGTTTCGACATAATCGAGTGCATGGCTTTCCAGAAACCAAAACCGGTTTAGCATAATCGAATAGTCCCTTAGAAGATAAACCTACTGAGTTTTGAAGTATGAGGTAGCATAGCCAGTGTATGAAATAAAGCCCGTCCAACCGCCCGAAATGGGCTAGATTTCTGACGGACGGTCAGCTAGCCAGCCCGATGGTCTGTTAAAAACTTACATGTTCCATGCATCAGAGTAAATTCACCATATCTTGGTGTCTGGTCTCGTTAAATCCGTTTTTGGCTGGTAACATTTTGAAGCAAGGCTTATTTCATGCACTTGTATATTGGATTTATACTCGCTCATTTTTTTTATAACCGAACACTATAATAATTCAATTATACGACTCCTAATTTCCAAAGTAGGTTTATCTCCAATCTGCCATGATAATTTAATTAACAATTTTAGTTGGAACTCTTTCTCTGGTTATGCGTCAAAACGTGATGTGACCTCGCATTTCAACAAAACGAAAATAGTACATTACCGTAAACCATGCATAATTGCGTACCCCAAATCAGACACCAGTATGGTGTGAATACACACCTCTGAATGTCTTTAAATAATCATAACAAAACGGTATTTACTGATGTCATGGTAGAATTTGGTTCAATACCACTTACAGAAGCGAAACCAGTGTCAGGTCACGAACGTGGACCTCACTGCAGCCACGTGAGGAAACGTGAGCATTCGGCGTGACACGACACCATCACCAGTGAATATATGCAACAGCTCACGAACTCACTTGGTCTTTGACATAGAAGACAGTAATAATCCTGTTTTATGAATGTGAGACGTTATTGGGGTGGATTAAATCAAGTGAAATTATTTGCGCTTATATTTTCCTCTAAACAGAAGACCCCACAATGAGTGGAAGTGTTGGCTTTTCATTACACTGATTTTCTAGAAACAAATCTCTGAACAAACTCATCAAAAACCCAACATATCCAATGCAAATCATGCGATCGATTTCTTTACTGACGAACCCCACCTCAAATAACCGTTAGTATGGTTTGTCTTTTGCTTGCTTTTGTTTGTTTGTTATTTAACGCCGCCATCAGGACTATTCCAGGTATATATTCCAGGTAGTATTCCCTTTTCTGTCATCAGGCAGTGAATATCTTGTCTTCAACTCATCCATTTATTTGAGATATTTTAGACCTATAAACTTATCTATTCACTCATAAATTATATTTATTGAAAGGTGAGGATCCCCCGTTGTATATGCCTAATGATGAAAGAATCACGGTCAAGATGGCCTGCTTGACTGTCTAGATTATCCCATTACAAGGGATAAATATTACTGTGTTGAAACAGTAAAATAACTTTTCAGTAAAGTTCATTATCATTTAGTTTTGTGTTTTGTAAAAGAAATATATACTCATAGAAATGAAAAAGGGAACACATGAAAGTACAAGTGTTTCTTTATTAATTTCCAGAATTTCACACACTGTTCAATACGTATCTTGTGAAGAAACCTGGAAAAGAATAAAGGAATACTTTACTTTCATGTGTTCCCTTATTCCTTTCCATGAGTATATCTCCTTCATAAATTTTGATGCACAAGATGATGTATTTTATACATAGTTAGTATATGATTACAGAGATTGTTAGTAGCAGTGCCCTCGACGGTGGTTGAAGTACAGTTAAGTTTGCGTCCCCGTGAGAGGATATACAACATTCAAAGTATTTCTGTATTTACCCTTCTTTTGTTATTTATATAATTATATGTGTTAGTTTAATGTTCGGTTGAATAATCGCCAACACCTATAACGGGGTGGTGTAAATACAGCTCGCGTCCATTCAGGAAGCAAAGATACTGAAGTCCCCATGGCCCCTGGTATGGTGATCTACCTTCAGTTGTTAGCGATCTATAGCCCGGTTTTTTCATGGTATCGTTCTACATTGTGATATCTCCTCATGATAACATGTATTTTTACGTCATTTGCAACTTTATCCAGCAGAACAACACTTGTAAACAATCCAAATGCGATGTCACATGCATTGCACAATTGATAGCGAGTCCAAGGTCTCCCTGCCTTTATCTGATAGCAATAAGTCAAAGTCTTACAAAATGATTTGTTTGGTTGTTTGACGTGGCGCTCAGCATTATTCCGGCAATATGGCGGCGGTCTGTAAATATTCGAGTTTGGACCAGGCAATCCAGTGATCAACAGCATGAGCATCGATGTACGCAATTGAGAACCGATGTCAACCACGTTAGCGAACCTGACCATTCGATCCCTTCAGTCGCCTCTTACGACAAGCACGGGTTGCTGAAGACCAATTCTAACCCGGACCTTCCTGGTTCAGATTTTGCTAACACACAAATGTTGGCGTCTTTAACATAAACTCAATAATAAGCCATCGTTGGCTGCAATAAAAATGAGGAAATACGAATTTTTACAAATGTATATATTCCCTGTTGTTTACGTCAAACTTAAAGACGTAAACACTCGCTCATATCTCCGCATCAGTGATAAATAACCAGTATATACGACCTTGATAAACGAGCTTATCTAACACGATGTTACATAAAGGCCCCTCACAGCAGCTGTTTTGATAGAGGGACTGTGTGACAGCTTGTGTTATAGTGCTGCTGCTGTTGCTGCTGCTGCTGCTGCTACAATGATGAACCCGCGTCACGTTGTGATCGTCCTCCTTCTATGGGCGATACCACAAGTTGTGGTGAGTATATAAAAATCAAAACCTATTTTTGTTTGTTATTTTTATTAGTTTTTATTTACCATATGTTATATTTGGGAGTACACTTTCTCAGTAAAGTACAGATTCTAGTACGTGTGTTGGGTTGAGTCCCATCCCGGATTCGAACCCACACCCTCAGTGTCAGTCATAAAGTCTCCATCACACAGTGTATAATAGTGCTCAGGTTTTATGTATTTAGTATTTACGTTAACGTTGCCCTGCTTGACTGTGTTGATTTTTCCATCACATAGTTCAATGTCAAAACAATGAGGATTCTTTATTATAATGCTAATTACCATTTTATCATTGGATATTTAAAAGAGATAGAATTGATTGACAACATTTGATTACTATGTTTTGTAAACAGATGTACTTTTATTATTGGTAGTTTAGATTAGTAACTGAGGTTGTTAATGGCTGTATCTCAAAGGGGGTTAAAGTACTGTAAAATAATTGTCCTCCTGAGAGGATACGTAAGTCCCAAAACATTCAAAGTAAATTTAAATCTACCACACTCTTTAATGGTGTAACAGTGTAACCGTCCCTCAATAAATACTTGAACCAGCTCAAGGTTTGTAGTACGACTGATATAACACTGGGTTGTGATCATGATCCATACGCCAGCCAGAAATGTCAGCATTGAGTTCACCGTCCACAGAAGTTTTGTTATTTCCCGTGCACATTTCAAGCGTCAACAATATGCTTCTTTTCGTCCATTCGTGACCCACTCGTGTTATTCCGGGACAAGCCGAATAGCGACTCGTGCCGCATGTGTCCAAAGGGTTCCTAATTATGCCGCCCTTTTACCTGACAGGTAGATGATATTTACCTGCCAGTTATCCCACCCCTGGGATGGCGTTTCTTTACCGGAACTACGGTATACCCTCGTGCTTCGGTCCTGACGATAAGGGATGTGCGAGAGGTACCGTGTCAGTACCCCGAGGGCCTTTAAACCTTTACCGTAGTTCCTCCAGCAACCACAAGACGATGTTCTTCGTTCCACAGTTTTATTAACACTGCGTTGCTGGTCCAACCCACTCTATTTGTTACATAATTAGGAGACTTCAGCCGCAAAACTTCAGTCTCAGTCGAAATGCTGGCGCCTTGAGTTTGTTTCTTAGTACGAAAGTTAGTGACAATCAGATGAGTGCTCATGCGCCCTAGACCCCAGGCTTGGGGTTCCCAGGAGCACTCCAGACCCTCGGCCATTCGTGACCAACTCGTGTTATTCCGGGACAAGCCGAATAGCGACTCGTGCCCCTCTAGAACATCAGAACTACTTTAAACAAGAACGATAACTCTATCCCTGTTTGATTCCAATGTTTCTAAAAATCACCGAAGCACATATACATTGTATTGCTAGGTTGTTGTTTTGGGTTTTTTTTCACTTATTTATTTTAAAGAATTAAACCTCTTTGATACAACTAAAAGAAGGAGAAAAACATATTTGTTAAAGACATATTGTAATGTAATTATTACCAGCTGTTCACCTTATATTTCCAATTATAATTAATAGGGTTCTTAATAGGGTTTAATCATCACAAATGGGAATTGTTTTATTGAATATACAAAAAAATAAACAAAATTCAGCTACATTAAATCCCAAAGCAGATATTCAAAAATGACTTTAAAATATTTCTCAAACTGAACATTCGTGTAACCTTGCTGTCACACCCCTGGTGGAATTTTAAATGAATTCGCTGAAAAAAATATGAATGACCAAAAAACAGTCAGACTAAAATATCCCCAGGGATATGAAATATAAGCCCAAAGTTAAAGATTAAGGTTGATTAGTTACATACAAATACGATATTATTGTTTTGAAACTGGTAGCGATTATAATTACATTTCCTAAAATTGGTCGAAGCGCACGTACAATCTCCATAACAAGCCCGCAAGATCTTCAGAAATACACTCAGTTGGACCCATGAGAGCAGTTATGTCAACAAACGCACGTGCGTGTATTTGAATCCCTCACCGTCACTCGCATAATTCTTATTAAAAACTTCATAATAGGCAGCACAATTCTTTTTAGCTACGTTCTTTGTACTTTCAATATGACGATATGTATTTTTCATGATTTTTTAAACAATGACATAATGCCATAAACGATTTAAGTACTCGGGATTATTTTTATCAAAGCACCGCGCTCATTTACGCGCGTTCTGATTGGTTTGTCGTATTTTCGCACATACCAAGTATCGAGTGGGGAACGAGTCTTCTTGTAGGTTACGGAAAGGGGCGAGTGGTGACGAATGACCCTCTGCCTGAAACTCGGTGCGCACCACTTCTTCCCCTCGTGAGCTTTTGCTTCAGCTGGAAACTGGGTTCCTATGTCACAGGCATCAAGACTGAAATTTGTCAAAACTGTGTCAACAAGGTAGCTAACGTCATTGAACAAGGTTACTGGTCTCGGGATGGCTTACAACAGGCAACTGTGGCACCACTTGTCATCCCTTTAAGTCGTGACTATGACACTACGACAGACGAGGAACCGACAGGTCTCCCGGAATAGATTTTGAGATGTCCCCTGCCATGACTGGCTGTTCCGTTTCTGCGGTTTCACCCCGCCGCGACAGATCACAACTTTTGCGTTTTCAATGATGACAGTTTCTTAAACAACTTTTTTGGTGGAGTCCGGAAATATAAGAAAGCTGTTGGGTATTAGTAAATGATAAACATGTGTACTATTTATATTTATGTGGCAATTTTGTACAATGATAAAATTTGCAATTCATCGGTCCGTTTCTGACTCAAACGGACTGTGTTGTAGTCGCATGTACACGAAGCAGCACTTTCACTCTTTCGTCGCATGCTGGGGTGGAGGCACGTACGTGAAATCATGATCGACACTCGCCGGTCATAAAAATCAACATTCTTTGATGAGTTACAGGTCATAGGTCGATCAGAAAAGGATCTATCTTCGATTCTGCAGGTTTCAGGTTCGACAGTCAGTCAAGTATTTTCCACTGTCACTTCGAATTTCAACCTTTCGCAAAATGTAAACACTGGCTCGTCCGCCATTTCAAACTGTTGCGTAACTGTCTACTTCCAAGAAAGTAAGTAGGTCAGACGATTCCATTATAGTGTGGCCAGGGGGGTACAGTAACACGGCACACAAAACAATAGGCTGGTTTCGGTCGTGTGGAGTTATGATTATAAAAACCAAGCTCTTAGGTGTTACATTATTGCATTGAATAAACAGTAGTTTGTTTTCTTTGGACAAAATATTTTTTATGTTGCAATGTTAAAAAAAATACGAACGGAACCTACCACTCCCTTCACAGACCAGTTCAATTAGCCTGTCGTCCTATGCTGGATTACGCAGTGTCTTCCGCAGGACGAGGAAGTTCAATGTTAAATCGGTTATGGTAGAATGGAGATAAACATACTGAGTTTGGAAATTAGATGAATGTTAGACCGAATTGATTGTCTCTAAATTAATCATTTGAAACCTCACGCTACGCGTTCGGCTTCAAATAAAATTTAGAGACTATCAATTCGGTCTAACATTCATCTAATCCAAATACAGTACGTTTATCTCCTAAACAGTTGTACATTTTGTATATGATGCAAATAAGCTTTTTGTCCTTTTTTTAAGTCAAATTATATTAAAAAATTAAACCATGAAGTACTTCTCCGTGTTTGCTAGATACACCTGCGCAGTTCATTATTTCTTTACATTGCTTTAGTAAAGTCTGCAGAATTTTGTCAGTTATGATAATTTGACATGTGATAAAAGAGGTATTGGATTTAGTTGGACAGTGTGATACATGAAAATCAAATCATGTCCGAAATTGTAGGCATTAAGGACATTCTGTCTCCACGCCAACCATGTATAGTGTTACGTCAACTCATCTCCTATCTAAATTATAATCCCTGTGAAGATCCGGATTAGAATTGGTCTTCAGCAACCCATGTTTGTTGTAAGAGGCGACTAACGGGATCGGGAGGTCAGGCTCGCTAACTTGGGTGACACATGTCATTGTATCCCAATTGTGTAGATCGATGCTCATGCTGTTGATCACTGGATTGTCTGGTCCAGACTCGATTATTTACAGACCGTCACCATGTCGCTGGAATATTGCTGAGTGCGGCGTTTAACAACAAACAAACTTAATTATAATGTGGTAATTCATAATTTGACTTAAAGGATGCTGACCTACACTGTAGATTCTGGTATGAGTCCGATCCGAGTCCCATCACAAAGTAAGATTTTGTTGTCTGATGTTGACAACTTTGAAACAGCTCAACGACCTGGTTTATCCATTTGTCTCTAGTTTACAAGAAGCCAAAGGTTCCGGCGGGACACTCGGACCAACATCAAGCGGGTCGCTGACAGTTACATTGGTAGGACTCGGTGGTCGTATGCATCATCCCACGCCACAGGCTCGAACACCAACAAGTGCAACATCTTTGTGGCTGATGTTATTGAGGAAGCTGGAGGTAGCGTGCCCCATCGATGGTAAGATATATCATTATTATATATCATATATCGGCGACATACGTAGAGGGGATATCAAACAGTTCTAATTATCGCCATGAATTTATTGAGAAATTATAACGAAAATTTGAAGGTAACATCAGTGATCCTTATGTAGTTAATGGACCAAAAACTATTTACATCACTTTATTCAATCTTGTGCTAGTTGATACAAAACATGAGTAACCCCATGTATGGAGAAAATTAAGGCACGCAGCGTTATCAAGTTTTGGCACTTGAAGGGTTGCACTGCCCGACAGGTTCACAAGATGAAATCTGTTTGTGGTGAAGATAGTCCATCTTATGATACTGTTGTGAGATGGAAAAGGCATTTTCAAACCGGTCATATGTCCCTCACAGTTGAGCGAAGATGTGGACTCCGTTTTAACGATACCAATGAGGTCATTGAAGAGGTGGAGGGTTGGTTTTTCATGAAATCAGGGGCGGTCTGTTCAAGCGGTCTGCACAAGGTCAACAAATGTTGGTAGAAATGTGTCACTCTGGATGGTGATTATGTAGAGAAGTCTTAAGGACAAGAAATCAATATAAAGTTTCTACTCTGAATACGTCATGGTGATAATTAGAAAATTTTTATACCCCTAGTACATGCATACACGCACGCACGCACGCACGCACGCACGCACACACGCGTGCGTGCGTCCGTATGTATTAGTTGATAGTTTAATGACTTTAAACCTTTTCCATGTGTGTGTATATGCGTGTGTATGTCTGTGTATAGGCGTAGGTGAGTGTATCTTTGTGTGTGTGTGTGTGTGTGTGTGTGTGTGTGTGTGTGTGTGTGTGTGTGTGTGTGTGTGTGTGTGTGTGTGTGTGTGTGTGTGTGTGTGTGTGTGTGTGTGTGTGTGTGTGTGTAAAAGGTTTAACATTATTAAACAGTTATAGAATCAACTTTCCTCTTCACGATCTGCTTGGTATTGGTTTGAATAATCTCGCACCGATTAGGACATTTAATGTGGGTGTGTTTCATCAAAGTAGTACATCTGTACGGCCGTCGTCACTTTGACACTTTGTTCCCACACGAAAGTTGATATGATATCTGAAATTCTATATCAATTGGAGTTAGACCCATCACACTCACCCACTCTCTCAGGAAATACTGCTATACTGATTATTACTTTTATTCGTACTTCCAAAGACCGTAAATGAATTGACAGCGTCTCATTTCCATGCAACACTATCACTGGCACACACACGCACGCACACACGCACACACACACCATATATTTGAAAATTCCTGGATCCGCCTATGACTATTTTATTTAAATAAGGGAGAATATTTCAGGTGGGGATTCGCAGGTCCCATTGGAGCACGAGAATGGGGAAACCCAAGTTCCAGCTTCCTGACAAGGGATGGTTGCTGGACCAATCACCAGACTGGTCGTGAAGGTGATGTCATTGCCGGTGGAGGACATGTTGGCATAGTAACGGGAGGGAGACTGACAACCAGTGCAGCCCGCTACAGCGTGGTGAAGAACAACTGGGGCTACCGTTCTGGACAGAGCGTCACTTTCTGGAGATATACCTGTTGACGTCATTTCCGTTTCTTCTCGTGTGACTGAAATATCAATATGAATACTTTAAATGATTTGAGAGCCATTATACCGGCATAGTTGTGATGATAAACGACCTATTATTGACCAGCAATTATAGAAAATGTATTCGCCATTTTTGCATTAAAATTCCAAAAGAGTACATCGTCGACATATGTTACAACACGCTAAACTATACAGCTTAAATATATTTTATGGGGCGGTGGGTAGCCTTGTGGTTAAAGTGTTCGCTCGTCACGCCGAAGACGCAGGTTCTATTCCTCACATGGTTACTGTGTGTCAAGCCCATTCTGCTGTCCCGCCGTGATACTGAATATAACTAAAAGCAACGTAAAACTATATGCACTCGCTATACTTTGTCTCACTGCAACAACCACAACACTCGTCTTTTGAACTTATCTTTGTGCAACGCGAGTAAATAAATTTACAATTCGAACCAGTATCTTCGAGTTCTTTTTGTAAGACATAACAAGAATACTCTTTGTATTTGTTGTAAGTGGAACATAGTCGGCACCACCAGCACGTCAGTTAACCAATATAACTCCTGTCGATATATATTTTATGTAACGTACATTCGTGTACATTACAAGTTCCATTTTAACAGTAATTCATCATTACAATTTCATCCCATTACGGGACTGTTTATTTCACCGTACAAAAATGTATGACTGCCTTCGGCGCGGTGGGGTAGCCTAGTAGTTAAAGCGTTCGTTCGTCACGCAGAAGACCCGGATTCGATTCCCCTATATAGGTACATTGTCTGAAGCCCATTTCTGGTGCCCTCCGCCTCGATCTTGTAGGAACATTGCTAAAAGCGGCGTAAAATCATAAGCTGCTGGACTATTAGTGAAAACGGCGCAGAACTCAGCTCACCCACTAATACTGTTTTGTATTACCTACGAGTGAAAACATATCGGGCTTCATATTTTTCATACGATGCCCCAGGGCAAAATATCCCCTTTACGAGAAAGTGTTCCACGTCAAGCCTCGATTTCGATGGGAACTACTTTATTCATTCATGAAATTTTAATATGCTTTAAGGACCGTGCAAAGTTTATGGCTAGGGGGTGATGATGAATTTTATGGGGAAGCATGTACAATGTGACTGACACACACACACACACCCTCCCTAAAATGTAAGTACAAAGTAAGTGACTGCTCATTGGTACAATAGGGGAGTTTCTTAATTTGGTTATTTTTTTGCAATCATGGCAATCAGTATGTTCTTCAGATGACAAGAGTATTGTATTAGATCAAAATATTAACAAATCAAAATATTTCGTCGGCTTTGTGCACAATTTAAACGTTTGAACAACCTATACCCAGCCAATTAAGTTGAAACCTTCCACATTCCAAGGTATTGCCGTTCAATATTTTTAGATTGTTTTTAAGACACATTTGCAAAAAAAAAACAATTTATTTAAAGTAGAAGGGCGTGTCCCTTATGTCTCCTTAAGCAGCATGGGATTCAAAGACTTTCGGTTTCTTTTTGAGTGAGTCTATATTGTGAAATGATACTTTCATATTTACCAGAAATGGGCTTCACCAGAAATGGGCTTCACACTCTGCATGTGGAGTATCGAACCCGGATCTTCGGCGTGAAGAGTGAACACTTTAACCACTAAGCTACCTCATCGCCCTCTATTGACAAAGATACAGGACTAACAAGTCCTTAATGAAGAACTAACAAATCCCTAATATCGAACAAAGAAACCTTTAATATAGGACAGGACTAACAAATCCCTAATATCGAACAAAGAAACCTTTAATACAGGACAAACAAATCCTTAATGAATGACTGACAAACCCATATATATATAATATGTCTTTAATATATGTCTAACAAAATGTTAATAAAGGTGTAACAAACGCTGAATTCAGAATTAGCAAGAGATATTTTAATATGGCTCTAAATTAGCCGAATCAAGTCACAATGATGTATTTTTTGTGTCATGATACTTATAAACAAGCTTTCATTCACTTACAACTTCCAAAACATGAAGTCAGAACATTCTCACCCATGGGCCACTCTTCTGCCCATGGTAGGTAGTTTAAATTTTGAGTTTTCGAAAAAAAATTTTTTCATCTTTGAACATATTCCTAACAACTGCGTGTTTAATTTTGTCAAATCCTTTGTCAGAAAGTGGCCACAGTACGGAGAGTTTCTGGACTTTTGTGAGTCCAGAATTAAATGGTGACGTGTTAAACCTAAATATGAGACTAACAAAAACAAAACATAGAACTAACAAACACTTAATTAAGGACTAACAGACCCTTTGAATAATCGTTTTTTCCAGGTGGCAGTGTTTTTTATCCCTGTTTTTAGTTCGTGCTATTATTACCTACACTTTACCCCATGGTTTAACGTAAACAACATATGTCACAAAATCAATAGCATTAGAGTCAACATGGTGATTTACCGAAACTATTTGTGTCAAATCTGAGGTTATCTGATTGATACACAGTTGGTGCGGTATTTTTATTAGCGATGTTTGCACCTCTCGATGTCAGCCAGAGGCCATGACTGAACCCGGACTGGGAGCATCGACATAACACATAACCGACGGCATCATGTGCGGCAGATACGTTGTCATCACGTTCCTTTTGTGCCTGATATGGCCTGCGTATGTAAACGGATGGGTGAGTGTTCCACAGTTATACCACATTTGAGGTCAGTACACAAGAAGGGCGCACGGGTGTTTATGCTGATCGTACTTTCGTAGCACAGATTGTCTCCTACAGTCTTAAAAACAGTAAGGGAACTTCATTTTTAATTTACGATTGAAAAAAATGGGAGATATATCAATCAATGTTGATATGATAATAATGAATGTTTTGAGAGTGCATTACCACTTGCAACTATGACCATAGCTGTTTGCACAGTAATCGCTCTTGAAAGATGATTGGTGTATGACGTGAAATTTGCATGTGTACGATTTTCAATTCTAAACCAAAAAACTCCGTCCAGAAACATACACTAACAACTGTGTGATGCAAGACGATTTATCGACCTTGAAAACCGTCAAAATCAAGAATGACACCCCCATGCACTACGTCCTACACGCTCATCCAATGCGTTGCGATTAGGGGTGGCGATGAAGAGAAATGGTTGAACTGGTTTCATAATATGTCTGTCCTTGAAAAGTTGATTAACGCCTATACATGTACTTCCTATCCAAATTGAAAGTTCAGGTTCCCCTACTTTTTTTGTTAAGAGTATATTATAACACTCTGTCTGTCAGCGCCATACTTATGATCGCTGAAGAAGTACTTGAAAAGTCGGCATTACTTAGGGTTTACATCCCATATGCTAACACAGCGCCTCCTTGGCCTAGAAGATGGACCGCCTCGCCAGAGAACGGAAGATCAGCGGTTCGAACCTGGTCACGTCATTACTTAAGACGTACATTGTCATTAAACTGAGTGGTGAATCTATTTTAAACCGTACAAGGTAAAGCAACTTCCAACAGTAAAATTATAGGAACATCCTGATACACGTGTTTGCACGTCGCCATGTGTTCACTTATGTTAAACACAATGTTACACCATATTTCACCTCACGTATTGAAACACCGCGACACAGCTGATATATAAGGTTCACTCCAATGTCCAAGATGTTATTCGTTGTGATACAGAGTTCCAGGTGGGATACATTGTACCCGTCGACATGCATTTGGCATTGTACCCGTTGACATGCACTTGGTATTGTACCCGTTGACATGCATTTGGCATTGTACCCGTTGACATGCACTTGGTATTGTACCCGTTTACATGCACTTGGCATTGTACCCGTCGACATGCACTTGACATTGTACCCGTTGACATGCACTTGACATTGTACCCGTTGACATGCACTTGACATTGTACCCGTTGACATGCACTTGGCATTGTACCTGTTGACATACACCTGGCATTGTACCCGTTGACATTCACTGGTATTGTACCTATTGACATTCACTTGGTATTGTACCCGTTGACATACACTTGGCATGTACCCGTTGACATTCACTTGGCATTCTACCCGTTGACATACACTTGGCACTGCAATACCGTTATAGTAGTGTTTATACTAATTTGTGAACTTTGCAAGTTTTAGAATGCAATTGTTGATTAAATCACAGTGCTGTGTTTTCCGATTCCCAGTTGAGTACTGCATTAGGGAATCATCACGTAGCAAGGAAAAATTAACTCAGTGATGCTTTTAGAGACTTTACTGAACCGCAAAAGAAACGCAATTTTCAAATCGAAATTAGCGTTATCGAGAATGGAGAATTGTGCTTTTTTTCTGATGAAAGCCGACATTGTGCTTCGACAACCGATGGCTGAGTGAGAGTATGGCGAAGGCGGGGGGACGGTTTTCCAATGCGTGTAATGATGAAAGAGACTCGTGGGGTGGCTCAAGCATCATGGTGTGGGGTGCAATCGATCTGAACCAGAGAATTGGCCCTGTGGTGTTCAAGAATCACGGTCCAGGACGAAGAAATTGCGTGACAGCTGCTCGCTATACTGACCAAGTCATAAGACCCCAGGTTGTACCGCATTTTGAACATCGCAGAAATCACATCTTCCTGCAAGACAACGCTCGTGCCCACACTGCCAGGGCAACACTGCACTTCCTAAGACAACATGGCATCCAATCCCTTCAATGGCCTGCACTCAGTACGGATTTAAGTCCAATAGAACACCTTTGAGACGAGATTCAAAGAAGATTGAATGACCTTCAACCAAGGCCGACAACTCCGGCTGGACTCGATCACGCATTGAGCAGAGTACGGACCCAAGTGCCTATGGCCTTCAACAACCGGCTAATTCATTCCATGTACAGACTACGCAACGCCGTCATCGATGCCCATGGAGGTCAACACGATACTGACTCTGAGGTATCTTGGTGGGACCATGTTTGGTGAATTTGTTTGTGTGAACGCTAAATGTGATTCCCGAACATGTGTTAACCATAATTGTCAAGTTTAAACGCAATCCTCCGTTTTGATTGTTAATAAGAGCGAATTAAAATGTGTGGTTTAAAACACCTCTATTGTTTTGCGATTCTTTTGCGGTTCAGTATATGTAATACATTAAGTAAAATGTGTATTTGGGGTTAAGTATAAAATTATAGAGAACTACCAGCGGCATGTATATTTCAGTAGAAGCCTGTGAAAGACGAATTATGTTCAATCAGACAAAATATGTATTTTGTTGCCTGTCAAACAATCATAATACTTAGCTCATACATATCTTATCGATAGAGATCATTTCAACAGTAGTGTTGAAGCATGGTAAAGATAGAGAGTGACCATTACGCCTTCTCTCTGATATGGCGGTAAGCACACTGGTGAGGTGAGGTGAAATTGGGTTTAACGTCGTGCTTGAGAATATGTCGCTCATATGACGACGTGCATGCGTGTGTATGTGTATGTGCGGCTGCTTGTACTAGCCCAGACTTAAGCTGGTTTTATAGTGCTTACCCACTGAGATACCATGCCGCAGTGAAGCATGAATACCCCACTCAAACACATTATGCTGACTCCAAGCCGACCAGTCCTTGTTGTACCCATTAATGCCGAGCGCCAGGCAGGGACCAACAAGTACCATATTTTAACGTCTTTTGGTATGCCGCAGTCGGGGATCGAACCCGCGACCTTCCACTCTCCGGGCGGACGCTCTAACCACTACACCACGGACGCGGCCGGTAAACACAATGTGTTAAGTCAGTATTCCTAAGTCGTAAGGATAAAACGGTTTCGAGGTAAATGTACATCAAGGCATAATGAGGAAGTTATGTAAAACCCTACAGTGAACAATGTCATGAGTACAACACTGCCTTGGTTGAGCCCTGTGTTCTCATACCGCTTCTGTGCTCTTGCGGACAAATCCTCTCAGCAGAAGATGGATCCATATCTGAGGACTTTTAAAGCTGGTAGGGGGCGTTTGGGTAGCCTGGAGTTTAAAGCGTTCGCTCGTCACGACCCGGGTTCCATTCCCCACATGGGTACAAATTGTGAAGCTCATTTCTGGTTAAAAGAAAAACCCACCCCACCCCACCCCACCCCCCCCACACACCCCGCCGTCATACTGCTGGAATATTGCTAAAAGCGGCGTAAAACTAAACCCACTCACTAACGCTGGTATTTGGTGGCAACCCGCCTGGAGGTCAATGTGACAGGGATACTGCTGGACCCTGAGTCATCAGACCCGAATATTTTTGGCTCTTTGTGAGCTTGGAACAAGCAGCATTTGTCATGAAAATAATCCCATTTGTTTGGCCCCAAGCAGTGAGGTATTTCCAATGGAGGATGTTTAGAGTAACCTACGATGAGGGGAGATAACTGGAGGAGAGGTGAAATGGGGTTTAACGTCGCACTTACGATTATTTCGCTCATATGACGACGTGTATGCATGTGTATGTGTGGCTGCTTGTACTAGCCCAGACTTAAGCTGGTTATATAGTGCTAGCTCACTGAGATACCATGCCGCAGTTAAGCATGAATAGCCCACTCAGACACATTATACTGACTCCGAGCCGACCAGTCCTACCCATTGTACCCATTAATGCCGAGCGCCAGGCAGGGACCAACAAGTACCATATTTTAACGTATTTTAACCTTCCGCTCTCCGGGCAGACGCTCTAACCACTACACCACGGAGGTGTGACGGGCTACAGGCTCACCACGAGTGCACGGTATGACAAAGTTGTGAGGAACGATTTTGGTTTCCGTTTCTCTCAGAAGCCAATGACACTGTGGCGTTACACCTGCTGAAGCAACAGCTACAGATGTAACTGTACTAAGTGGACAGATTAAAAAAACGCATAATTCGTTGTTTGAGTGTTTCTTCAGGTACGCGTTAGCAACCACCCGAGACCATGTCACGGACTGCAACGACTCCACTATGAGCCGAATGCACAGCACGAATATTTGGTAACTAATACGATTTTAGGTAAACCAATTAAATATCAAGTCAGCAGTTGGTTTTTAATCAGCGAAACAGTAACAACAAAATCATTTGACATGGTTTGACCATATTGACAGTGTTAATGTATCACGTTACTGTCAAATTAATGGGGGGTTTTAATATAACAGTTTTGACTATCATCCTACCTGGCACGGATGGATCTAAGTTTTCACATCTCTTTTTCATAAATACAACCAAAATTCAAGTAAACAAGTAAAGATTCATCAATACTACATTGAAGGCAAATAACGAATTGAATTCATGACGGGATACGGGATGCCCTGATGCATATATACTCCTGGTAAACAACAGCGCTATGCAAAAACAAATTCATTAAAGTAAAATTCGTATGGGTCTTTTTGTACTAAGACTTTGTCATGATTTGACATGACGACTTTGGAATTGCCCGAGCATTGCATACATGATATTCAAGAGGTAATCACACATTCACAGTACACGTGGGACCGTGCACGTGTTAAAACGAAGAGTTAAAAAGTTAAGTTGGTTTAATTATCAAAGGACGAAGCTTGGATGCGTTATGACGCATCACTTTGATTAAATGATTGATGCATTGTTGTTGAACTCCGCACTCAGCAATATTCCAGCTATATGCCGGCGGTCTGTAAAAAATCGAGTCTGGACCGGACAACCCAGTGATCATCATAATGAGCATCGATCTACGAAACTGGATAACGATGACATGTGTAAACCAAGTCAGCGAGCCTGACCACCCGATCCCGTTCGTCGCCTTTTTCAACAAGCATGGTTTCTAACCCGGATGTTCACGGTTGGTTTGGACTTACGTTAAAACGTCCACGAAAACATGTATGTTATAGGTTCAGGATATAGTTTCAGCCTTTGTCTGGTCCAGACTCGATTACTTACTGATGAACCTTCACATATCGTATAGTGGGGAGCTGAGTTTATCGATCTGACCCGCAATAGGGCCTATGGTTTCAAACATTTTACAACAAATTGAGGTGGCAATGCAAGGAATATTTATCTTAGTAAATAATGAGAGCAGACATACAAACTTTTGTGACTTTAGATTGAGTGTGTAAGTTCAATATTGTACTCCCCAACTTCTAAAATGCCACTCTAAGAAGTGTTAGAGGAAGATCCACCATAAAAAATCGTTCACAGGTGAATAGTCTTCTGTGAGTACGAGTATGGTACTGACTGACTGTTTGTTTCTTTGTCAGCAATATTTCAGGTATATGGCTCCGGCCGGTAAATAATAGAGTCTGGACCAGACAATCCAGTGATTTTATGACTTTAGACTGACAGACTGACAAAGAATATTGGGTTTACTGTTACATGTAGACAGGTTAAAAGTAGATCAAGAAGGAAAGATAGACTATTTAGTTACAAAGATAACAATAGATACAGATTCAGCTGATGATGAAGGGTTTCAGGCGACATCTGAATGACAGCTAGTGCAGCGTAACTATATTTGTTAATATACTGAGTCAAAAAAGAAACTTCTTCGGGGCAGTACATTCTTTCTTCATGGCACTATAAAAGAACAAGAGAGGGTAAGATGATTAAATTGTTATTATTTCATTGCTGAGATCTGTGTGATGTACTCGATACACTGACAGTGCCATAATCAGTTCCATTAGGCTACACCGCCGTTCCAAAACATGGGTATACAGAATGTCAAGTCACAAGAATAAAAATGTGAAATTTCTCAGTTCAATATCGTATATGGCCGCCCCGCGCATTCACCACTGCCAAACACCGTCTCCTCATCGACTGCCTGATGCTTGTGAACACGTGGTTGGGGATTCTGCGCAATTGCTCTTGCAAGGCAGCGCCAAGTTCCTGCAAATTCTGAGGTTGGTTCCTAAGACCACGAAGCCTTCTCCCAAGTGCATCCCAAACGTGCTCTATTGGATTATGGTCAGGGGACCTCGATGGCCAGTCCATTACGTTGATTCCAGCGTTTTGAAGGAAATTTCGTGTCAACATCGCGGTATGAGGCCGAGCATTATCATGCTGGAACTGTAGACCTGGGCCATGAGCCGCCATGAAAGGAACGAGTTCAGGGGTGAGCACCTGGTCGCGGTAAGCAGCAGCTGTGAGGTTTCCACGGATGACCAGAAGTCGGGAACGGTTTTTCCCACAGAAAGCACCCCACACCATGCAACTTCCGCCCCCGAATCTGTCGACTTCCTGTACACAACATTGGGCTTACCGTTCACGACGTCGTCTCTAGACTCTCTGCCTGCCGTCCGCGAATATGAGGGTAAACCTGGATTCATCGCTAAAGACGACTCGATTCCAGTCTCTCTGGGTCCATCGGAGGTGACGTTTGACCCACAGCAGACGTTGACGTTGATGAAACGGCGTCAATATTGGCCCACGATATGGACGTCGAGAGTGGAGATTAGCAGCCCGCAACCGATTTCGAATGGTCTGTGAGGACAGTCGACCTCTAAACATCTCAGCCCTGGTTCTTGTAGCCGGCAGAAATCTGTCACGTAGGTGACGTGGGACGATTTTGACGGTCTTCTACTCGTGACGTCACACGTGGACGGCCCGACCTTGGGCCGTCAGAAGTGGTGCCAGTTTGTTGTCAACGACCTCGCAAGTCATACACAGTACGACAGCTGCATCCCATTGCTCTTGCGACGTCAATAACTGATCTTCCCGCTTGCAACATGCCAACGGCACGTTCACGTTGCACATTTGACAAGCGTGGCATTTCAAGTACCGTTAGAACTGTGGTTTAAAAGTGTTTTTTTCAATTCTTGAGGCCAATGCAAACACGTGCATATGAAGAAAACTTCGATGCGAAGATCACGTGATCGACTGCACTTGCAAAACCTGATTTGGCACTAACGTCATTTGCACGACGAATGGATGGGTTTGAGTGGGTTTTGCTAACGTTTTTCTAGAGTCGAAAGCTAGGGATCCCATTTCGGATACATCAATGTATCATCAGAGAAAAATTATTCATTATTTTTCAAATTACATTTTGTGAAGTTTCTTTTTTGACTCAGTATATAAATGTACTTGAGTTGGAATAATATTCGATGAGGCGATGAAAACGCAAAAAAAGGACTCACAGGCAAAACTCTTGTGATTTGAACCAATAGTAAAATCATCATTATGGGATAATGTTAAATTGTTGAAATTGGGTATAGTTTTACTTTCTCTTCTGTGTTTGCTTCCACATTCTATCAGTGAATAAGTTGAACGTGCAGGTCCCAATCATATTGGTCAATAACCAACAGACGACGTCATCGATGGTATTGTTATGATATACGGTTATCTGATGAGTATAAGTTATGTATTCACCGCGTATTTCTATTCATTCCTCCACAAGTGCAAGCTTGACCATTACATTATATTCATATTCCAGTGATGAATACGGACGCCAAACGTGATGCTATTCTTGATACACATTTGGAACTTCCACTAAATTAACATATGTTAGCTTTGAGGGAAGAACTTCAACCGTGCACCAAAGTTATAAAGAAACTGCAAGCTGAAATGCGTGGAGTCGGGAGGGTAATAAAAATTGTAAACCAAAAGTCACTGTGTTCTTTAATCTGATTGGTTGAAAAACGTGATCAAATGGTATTTGATTCTCTGCGTATTAATACATACAAGAATCGCTCACACCATTGTATTGTTATGTCGTCAGCTGTGAAGACGTCATTAAAATCATTTTGTGACGTAAAGTCCGAATGACGTCACAAATGAGCAGTTCCAGATGCTACCATGGGAGACAGCCGAAACGGCCGGCTGATGACATTTCACTGCTGTACTCGATGTCAATGAGAGCAGACACAAAAAACGTGTGTGGACCTTTCGGTGTGTCAACGCATAGAATGTTGACTTGCATGGCCAGAGGCTTCAGGAAAGACTGTCCCCAAAACAACGTGTCAACGCAGAGAATGTCGATTTGCACGGCCAGAGGCTTCAGGAAAGACTCTCCCCAAAACAACGTGTCAACCAATAGAATGTCGATTTGCATGGCCAGAGGCTTCAGGAAAGACTGTCCCCCCAAAACCAGTCAACCCATAGAATGTCGATTTGCATGGCCAGAGGCTTCAGCAGGGACCGTCCCAAAAAACAGTCAAACCATAGAATGTCCACTTGCAGAGACTGCCCCCCTAACAACAGTCAACCATGAGAAAGACGACTTGCACGGCCAGAGGCTTCAACAGGGACTGTCCCCAAAACAACATGCCAACGCAGAAAATGTCGACTTGCACGGCCAGAGGCTTCAGGAAAGACTGTCCCCCCAAAACCAGTCAACCCATAGAATGTCGATTTGCATGGCCAGAGGCTTCAGCAGGGACCGTCCCAAAAAACAGTCAAACCATAGAATGTCCACTTGCAGAGACTGCCCCCCTAACAACAGTCAACCATGAGAAAGACGACTTGCACGGCCAGAGGCTTCAACAGGGACTGTCCCCAAAACAACGTGTCAACCCAGAGAATGTCGATTTGCATGGCCAGAGGCTTCAGGAAAGACTGTCCCCCAAAATCCAGTCAACCCATAGAATGTCCACTTGCATGGCCAGAGGCTTCAACAGGGACTGTCCCCAAAACAACATGCCAACGCAGAGAATGTCCACTTGCACGGCCAGAGGCTTCAACAGGGACCGTCCCCAAAACAACGTGCCAACACAGAGAATGCCGACTTGCACGGCCAGAGGCTTCAGGAGAGACGGTCCCAAAAACACCTTGTCAACCCAAAGAATGTCAACCTACGGACAAAGTCAACTTCAACAGAGACAACACAATCTACAAAAATTGTACCGAGCTTCTCAAAGGGAAAGGGCTGTCATTTCACACGGAGCCATCTGCAAGCATTTTAGTCCATAGTATTGTATTTGTGTTTGAAGCTGTTTAATATGGCAAAATTAGTTTGCAATCATGTGTTGGTAAACTCCACTTGTGTTTCAACTTAACAAACATGTACACCAGTTCTTGCAGTAGACTACTTTCAAATGATGACGTCACTTTGTAGCTGGCGTAAGGGAAAAGCATACATCCTCCATCTGATTGGTTGTACGCGACAACATCAAAATCGATTATGAAAACACTAAAATTAAGTTAAGTTTCTAAAATAGTTTGAAAACAATTTAACCAATGTTCTTACCTACATTTGTTTGCTTCTAAACATAATTTGGCGCACTTGAGTACAGTGTGTGAAGCCGTTTGTGATGTCCAGTAAATGTTTAAAGCAGTAAACCAAACGCATATTTTACACACAAATCTTTAACACAGCTTAACTGCAACTGATTCTCCAATTGACGTAAGTGAATACAACTTTGGATGGCTCGACATCCGAACCCTGGAGTTCTTGATCCCATATCTGCCGAATGTGAATACAACTTTGGATGGCTCGACATCCGAACCCTGGAGTCATTGATCCCATATCTGCCGAATGACCGTTGAGAATGCGAATGAGAATGCCACTTTAGAGCCCTTCAGTCCTCGATTCCCAAACAACAGATGTTTCGGTTCCTGTTTTTACTTCGTGTGTTTCTGAATGCCCTTCACCTTTTCGCTTTAATGTAGATGAAATGTGCTACAAAATCATTAAGGAAATAATCAGCATGGTGTTTTTCAGCAGCTATCAGTAAGAATTCTCGCGACTGGTAGACAGTTGGTGTGATATTTCTATTAGCTCTGTGTGCAACTCAATGTGTTCCAGTGAACCTATATAAACCCGGGCAAGCGGCCTCGACAGAACGCATCACCACAAGCATCATGAACGGCAGATACGTTGCTATCACGCTCCTTCTGTGTCTGATATGCCCTGCATATGTGAACGGATGGGTGAGTGTTAAAATGTACATATCTGGGCCCACTTGCACAGAACGATCTAAGCGCTACAATTATTGTAAATCCATAAGATCGCGATCTTAGGCTTCGGCTACAATCGCCATCGACTTGCACAAAGCGATTGTAGGCTAAGATCGTTGTAAGTTACAATCGAAACTTACAATTGGTCCGGACCAATTGTAAGGAGCTAAGATCATTGTAGTCTGTGACAAAATGGTGTTCAAGCTTCACGCAAATAATCAGCTTTACGTTTGGAGATTGCTTTTATATTGCATAAAACTGTACTGTATGATTCACCTCGACACTTCAACACGGAGAATGTACAACCGATTTAACGTCAGATACATTGTTATTTGCTGTAGTGAACCACAGAACTATCGAGTCGATATCACAAAGTACTATTCCCACCCGATTCAATGTTGGAATAAGTGTGAAACAACATACCTTTTTGATAATCAAGGAAGGATACTAGCAAATGGTGTCCGCGTGCGATTAACAATGGCCGTGACCTTTTCATTAACTCAAGAGCAGATAATTTTAGTTTATGGGCAAGATGGGAGTGGTTTCCCCTGGCCTATGCCGTTGCCGTAGTCTGTCATGCCCAATCGCAGAGCTCAAGATATTTTCTTTTCGGTGATGGAGTGATTTTGTCTTAGTTAATCATTAAAGTAATCAAAAAATTAGATACAAGTTAACGTGCAAAATCAAGATTCAATTTTAATTTCACTTTTAGAAAAATATTTATCAACGCAATAGGGTCATATCATTAATATACTGTGAATGAGTATTTAACAACTGCTCTCTCGATATATTATTTGATATTCGTATTTCCCTGTCATGAATTCTTTACAACACTTCTGTAGCCATATTACATTTTCTTGTTATATTGTGAGAAAACCAATACTTCTAGGGTATATTTAGGATTTTACACACTCACAAAAAAAAAAATCAGGAAAAAAAACAGCTGTGCATTAAACAATGTCTCATTGACAACCAGTGGCAAATCATGCATTTAGGTGTTATATCATAAGTAAATATTGTCGATATTTGATATATTATTATAATTTTCATAATTATTAAGTCACTAAATCTAGACCCAAATTTATGAATGTATTTTTTCGCAGTTCAATATTTTCATAAAACATGGGTAGGTATTTCCGTGGTTGAAATATCACATTCTCAGTTCATAAATCAAGACAGTTAAAATATAGAAAAAATATATGCTATCGTCCACGTAATCGTTTCCTTCGAAGATTTCTTGGAATGTTTTGCATGAACATTCTGCAAAGTGCGATTGAGGGAGGTATGTATTGTGTGCAGGGACCAGTATCACTCTCTATTTGCGCAGTATGCTATGCGCACTTGCAGACAACTGTAGACAGGAGTCGAGTTTAAGAAATTCGCACCTCCACCGTTGAAGAGTGCGATCTTAGCTAAGATCGCGATCTTAAATCCATGCGGTCTTACAATCGCGCTAAGATCGGCTTTGTGCAAGTGGATTAGGGCAATTGTATGGTGATTGTAAAGTTGATTGTAGCGGCCTAAGATTGATTGTAACTAAGATTGCTCTGTGCAAGTGGGCCCTGGTCAATGGTCATTAGAGAAGGCGCATATCCTGTCTTATGACTCACTCGGTCAAACCTGAAAGATCCGGGTTAGGACTGGTCTTCAGCAACCCATGCTTGTCGTAAGAGTCGACTAACGGGATCGGGTGGTCAGGCTCGCTGACTTGGTAGTCATTGTGTCCCAAGCACTGGATTGTCTGATCCAGTCTCGATTATTTAAAGACTGAAAATAAATGCATAACGTCCCGCCAGGCCGCTATATAACTGGAATATTGCTGAGTGCGGCGTTAAGCAACAAACAAACAGTCAGTCATACACCATACTCGTACTCACAGATGATTGCTCACCTGTAAACATTTTTTATCTGCATGGGTCTTGCTCCAACGCTTCTTTGAGTGGCCTTTTAGAAGTTGGCAAACTTTATGGATACAAAGTTCTTTTATTTCGTGAGTTAGACGTTTCGATACAGATTCTTGTCTCGTTGTTAAGCAGAAATTCCAAGTTGTTATCCATAAAATATGTTAGTATATACCTCCAACACGAGCTCGTTCTTGGCGGTCGTCTGCCCGGGGAGGAGAAGGTCACTGGCTCGATATTGCCCCGTGTTCTGCGCTAAAGACGTCAAAATTTGTCATTTGATGATCAATTGTCTGGACGTTTCGACATAGAGTGGATTAAGCTTTTGTTGGTTTGGAGTGCTGTATCACTGTGAAACACCAGTGTCACACCTCAACTGGCTACACTACAAAACCTACCAGTAAAACAGCTAGTTACTCTTCGCTATATGTGTTCAGTAATGTTAAACACGATCTTAAACCACATTTCCCCTCACATATCGATACACTGTGGCAACCAATCTATAAATATCACTCTCTCAGTTCCAAAAGACAAACTCGGCGATGTTTTGGTGATTTTGTGAAAACGATATGAAATGATTTCTATGGTGTATTTTTAACTTTGTTATGTTCATATACCTCACAAACCAGAAACATATACTGCAATGAGCTTTTGGACGTTGTTTTAACCTATATTTAGTGTATATTTTATTGCAGTGGTTTTCAAGGAAAAAGGTGTCCAAAGTGTCTGGGGTTACCATCGCCAGCACAGCTAACAAGTACATAGGCAGCACCAAGTGGTCTAAAGCCTCCACACACAGGACCGGGGCAAACACCAACAAATGTAACATCTTCGTCGCTGAAGTCCTGGAGGAAGCTAAAGCCAAAGTTCCCCAAAGGTATTCTTAATGTCACGTGGGTGAGTGAGTAAGTTAGTGATTATCAGCATTTGTGAAGGTAATGAAGTACGATTACTGAAGCAGGTTGGAAAAGGCTAAGGATCACAAAGGACACGCCTGTTCAATCTGTCTCTAACACCATTGGAACCTGCAACACAACATCTGGAATCTGCATTAAAGCAGAAGGCAACCGACCACCTTCAGAAATGGATTAGAACCTTCAGAAATCGCTGCCATAAACAAGTGTATTCCAATATATCGGGACTTTCCAGGTTGTCAACACAGACCGACAGTAACAGTGTCTGAACTGGGTAGCTAACGAACGGGACATGTAACATTCACAAGTACGTCTTCACCTTTACCGCTGTGACGTATTCTTGAAGGAAGACGTCCAGGGGAGAGTCTCGAAGAGAACTCAAGATTGGGATTGGACGTCCCTTGCAATGTATTTGTCTCCAAGTCTCTGTAACACGAGACACTAAAGATGGTCCCTGTCTTTCCTTATTTTCTTCGGCTTACCCGTACTTACTCTTCTCTTGATCATGTTGGCTTCCTCGTTATATTGTTATCTTTACATATAACACATCTTCTGCAAGCGTATCAATATTCATATGATGAAGGGACAGAAGTATGTTCCCCACATAAGTCTCCATGGTATTTGTTGAAGTTTCCATCTGTCCACGTTTTGAAAAGAGTGTTAATCCAAGTTTAAACTTTCCTGTATCTCATTGCTTGTTGTAGACACTGGTACACCTGGAGTCCTATCGGTGCAGGAGAGTGGGGCAATCCTAGATCAAGCTACCTGACCGGAGATCCCTGCTGGACACGCGTGACCTCGGCACGAGCTGGCGACGTCATCGGTGACGGCGTGCACGTTGGCATAGTGACTGGCTACAGGCTCACCACGAGTGCACGGTATGATAAAGTTGTGAGGAACGACTTTGGTTTCCGTTCCTCTCAGAAGCCAATGACAGTGTGGCGTTACACATGCTGAAACAGCAGCTACAGATGTAACTGTACTCAGTGGCACAATAAAACTCACAGAAGTCATTGTTAGAGGGTTTTTTTCATGTGCAGATTAGTCATATTAATAATAATTGCTACTTTTTCAGAATCGTGCATGAGAATCTCATGTACAAGTATTTTGTAATGATTACCCATGACGACCCCCAAATAGCACGGGTGTCCCGGCCATAGCACGCAATGAATACATTCGTCACACTTTCACCATGCACGTGAGATCGACTCAGTTCAATGTGTGAAAGACAGCGTTGTTAACGGCAATGACTCCTGTACATTATGTCTCGTCAATCTGACAATGGGGCTTTGTATGCAGCTGGGTTTATTCCTACGGTTAACGCTGTTGTTTATATCGACGTTACGCTAGTCCGTGTGATTTTCACCGTTCTGGATTCGGTAGCGAGGTCGGCAGACTTCAATGCACATCACAGGAAAAATCTGGTTTCCACCAGTGCATAGAGGACACATCTGGTTGCCACAGATGCATCACAGGCCACATCTGGTTGCCACTGATGCATCACAGGCAACATCTGGTTGCCACTGATGCATCATATGGAACATCTACTTGCCACTGATGCATCACAGGGCATATCTAGTTGCCACTGATGCATCATGGGGAACATCTAGTTGCCATTGATGCATCACAGGCCACATATGTCATATGTTGCCAGTGATGCATCATAGGCCACATCTAGTTCCCACTGATGCATCACAGGTCACATATAGTTGCCACTTATGCATCACAGGGCACAGTTGCCGCTGATGCATCACAGGGCACATCTAGTTGCCACTGATGCATCACAGGGCACATCTAGTTGCAACTGATGCATCACAGGACACTTGTACTTGCCACTGATGCATCACAGGGCACATCTAGTTGCCACTGATGCATCACAGGACTCATCTGGTTGCCGCTGATGCATCAAAGGAACATCTGGTTGCCACTGATGCATCACAGGACACATTTAGTTGCCAATGATACATCACAGGGCACATCTAGTCACCACTGATGCATCACAGGGCACATCTGTTTGCCACTGATGCATCACAGGACACATCTAGTTACCATTGATGCATCACAGGGCACATCTGGTTGCCCGTGATACATCACAGGTAACATCTTGTTGCCAGTGATGCATCACAGGGCACATCTAGTTGCCATTGATGCATCACAGGACACATCTAGTTGCCAGTGATGCATCACATGACACATCTAGTCGCCACTGATGCATCTCAGGACACATCTGGTTGCCAATGATGCATCACAGGACACATCTGGTTGCAACTGATGCATCGCAGGACATATCTAGTTGCCATTGATACATCGGAGGACACATCTAGTTGTCATTGATGCATGACAGGGCACATATGGTTGCCAATGATGCATCACAAGACACATCTAGTTGTCATTGATACATCGGAGGACACATCTAGTTGTCATTGATGCATGACAGGACACACCTAGTTGCCACTGATACATCTCAGGACACATCTAGTTACCACAGATACATCACAAGACACATCTGGTTGCGACTCATGCATCTCAGGGCACATCTGGTTGTCATTGATGCATCACAGGGCACATTAAGTTGCCATTGATACTTCGCAGGACACATCTAGTTGCCATTGATACATCGCAGGACACATCTAGTTGCCACCGATGCATCACAGGACACATCTAGTCACCACTGATGCATCACAGGACACATCTCGTTACCGTTGACGCACCACAAGACACATCTGTTGCCGCTGATGCATCACAGGGCACATCTGGTTGTCATTGTTGCATCACAGGGTACATTTAGTTGCCATTGATGCATCGCAGTACACATCTAGTTGCCATTGATGCATCACCGGGCACATCTAGCTGCCATTGATACTTCGCGGGACACATTTAGTTGCCATTGATACATCGCAGGACACATCTAGTTGCCATTGATACATCGCAGGACACATCTAGTTGCCACTGATGCATCACAGGACACATCTCGTTGCCATTGATGCATCTCATGACACATCTGGTTGCCATTGATGCATCACAGGGCACATCTAGTCACCACTGATGCATCTCAGGACACATCTGGTTGAAAATAGATGCATCACAGGGCACATCTGGTTGCCATTGATGCATCACAGGACACATCTGGTTGCCATTGATGCATCACAGGGCACATATGGTTGCCAATGATGCATCACAAGACACATCTAGTTGCCATTGATACATCGCAGGACACATCTAGTTATCATTGATGCATGACAGGACACACCTAGTTGCCACTGATACATCTCAGGACACATCTAGTTGCCATTGATGCATCACAGGGCACATCTGGTTGCCATTGATGCATCACAGGGCACATCTGGTTACCACTGATACATCACAGGACACATCTAGTTACCGTTCATGCATCACATGGAACATCTCGTTACCATTGATGCATCACAGGACACAACTGGTTACCAATGATGCATCACAGGGCACATCTGGTTACCATTGATGCATCACAGGGCACATCTGTTGCCGCTGATGCATCACAGGGCACAGCTGGTTGCCAGTGATACATCACAGGGCACATCTGGTTGCCATTGATGCATCACAGGCCACATCTAGTTACCACTTACGCATCAGAGGGCACATGTGGTTGCCACTGATGCATGACAGGGCACATTTAGTTACCATTCACACATCGCAGGACACTTCTAGTTGCCATTGATTCATCACCGGGCACATCTAGTTGCCATTGATACATCGCAAGACACATCTAGTTGCCATTAATACATCGCAGGACACATCTAGTTGCCACTGATGCATCACAGGTAACATCTGGTTGACTCTGATGCATCACAGGGCACATCTGGTTACCATTCATGCATCACAGGGCACATCTGTTGCCACTGATGCATCAAAGGGCACATCTAGTTACCATTGATGCATCACAGAGCACATATGTTGCCACTGATGCATCACAGGGCACATCTGGTTGCCATTGATGCATCACAGGCCACATATAATTGCCACTGATGCATCACAGGCCACATCTGGTTGCCACGTACGCATCAGAGGGCACATCTGGTTGCCACTGATGCATCACAGGACACATTTAGTTGCCAATGATGCATCACAGGGCACATCTAGTCACCATTGATGCATCACAGGGCACATCTGTTTGCCACCGATGCAGCACAGGACACATCTAGTTGCCATTGATGCATCACAGGGCACATCTGGTTGCCAATGATGCATCACAGGACATCTGGTTACCAGTGATGCATCACAGGGCACATCTAGTTGCCATTGATGCATCACAGGGCACATCTGGTTGCCAGTGATACATCACAGGTAATATCTGGTTGCCAGTGATGCATCACAGGACACATCTAGTTGCCATTGATGCATCACAGGACACATCTAGTTGTCAGTGATGGATCACAGGGCACACCCAATTGCCAATGATGGCAACGTGACATACGTATTGCACTATGACATTTTTTTGTCGTCACGATATGGCTGAAATATTGCCGATGTGACGTTGAATATTAACTCACTCTCACTCACTCACTAACTCACCTATATGCAAAGCTACTTACTATTAAATCTACTATTACTTGTACCCCTTAAGCATCAAGCTATTTTTTATGAATAGTCTTAGTAATTTTCAGAAACTCGCTTAATTAGATTAATACTGATGTCACAAATATGTGTACATAAGGTGAGAACAACTGCAAGCCGTGTGTTCGAAATGTATATGAACATTTGCTGAAATGTCTCTGTAAAATTCAAGTGTAAACTGAGCTTTTTGAGGGGTTATTTGGGGAAAATCGTTTTAACAGGGATACATACAACCAAGTCCCGCGAGCGCCACCACCAAGTCCCGTTAGTCGTCTCTTACGACAAGCAATTCTGACCCGGATCTTCACGGGTTGGAAACATATATCGAAACATCTGTGGTAATAGATAGCTTCAAGCAATACACATCTGTCCAGCTTGCAAGATAACATTTACACGTGATATTTGAAGCCGGATGCAAACACGCACCGGGTAACGTTGTAATGGTGGGTCAATAATCAATACAGGTTTTTCTGTCATCTCATCAACGTACATGTATCTGTTCCCTCAGGTTGTTGCGTCAAGAACATTTTTGTAGTTTTTAGTTTATTGTTGAACGTCGGACTCAGCAATATTCCAGCCATGGCCATCGACCTTTTCAGTTAGGATACGATGACGTGTCCGTCCCAATGACGTCGGCGAGCCTGACCATCCGATCCCATTAGTCGCCTCTTACAATCATGGGTTCGAAGACCAATTTCTAACCCGAATCTTCAAGAGATTTGCAAGTGAGTGAGTTTAGTTTTCCCCGCTTTTAGCAATAATCCAGCAATATCACGGCGGGGGACGCCAGAAATGGGCTTTACACATTGTGCCCATGTGCGGAATCGAACCCGGGTCTTCCGCGTGACGAGCGAACGCTTTAACCGCTAGGCTGCCCCACCGATCCAAATTTACAAGTTCTATATTTAGATTCTTGCATTATAATTTATACACAACAAAGGTTTGACAGCGAGTAGATTTGTAGCAATTCCTTTAATATTGAAATATCTAAGTACATTTCCGTTAAATGACCAGCCCGGCATTCATTAGCGAAACACGCTGCTGTGTTCTTTTAAGCTTTTCTTTTTATAAATATGTCTTTCTTTTTTGAAGATGGTGCTTTTTTTTCGTATTTTCATCGGATGTAAGTATCATAGCGTCATTTTGATTAATTTGTAGTTATCTCGTTTTATATAATACAACTGGCACATTAACGTTTTGGATTCATCGCCTCGAGATCTTTCCAGTGATATAAAGATGTCTTGGCTTGCTTCCTTCTGCGGGGCCATACCTAAGTTGCTTAATATACAACCAGCATTGAACAGTCGCTCCTGATAACGTGAGTGAGTGAGTTTAGTTTTACGCCGCACCCAGCAATATTCCAGCTATATGGCGGCGGTCTGTAAATAATCGAGTTTGGACCAGACACTCCGGCGATCAA